TTATTTGTGCTTACCAGGTTGTGTGCTTTTCAGAATTTAATTGAATATGCCTTTTAAATTCCAATTCAGTTACTGTTTTTGCATTGTTTGATTTTGCGTTGCTCAAACAAGATGCATAAGTGCAAGTAAACTATAAGGCAGTAAAATTGAAGTGAAATTCAAGGAAACAAAGAAACAAGTAAATTCCTCTTTTTTTATAAGAAAAGTAAAGTTTTTCAAAACAAATTCAATATGTTGGCTTGACAAAGCCTACGTTTTGAAGAAAGTCTGTAAAGGGATAGGTCACCAAAAAAACTTTTTTTGTCATTATTTACTCACTATCATGTCGTTCTAAACCTATAGCTATGTCTTTCTTTCTTCTGTGAAAAAAAAAGAGATTTGGGGAAATGTCTCTATACTTTTTGTTTTGTTTTTTTTATAATGGAGGCCAATAGTAACCAAATCTGTTTAGTTACCAACATTCTTTAAAATATCTTCTTTTTTTTTTTAAATATCTTCGTTTTTTAGAAGAAAGTAAGTCATACAGGTTTGAAACAACATGAGGTGAGTAAATAATGGCAGAAGTTTTCTTTTTTGGGTGAACTATCCCTTTAAGTTTGAAGGGTTATATTGTTGAATTTGTTTGAATTGCAGTTCAGTATATTCACCTTTCAGCTTTTCAGAATTCCTACATTAAAGGGATAGTTCATCCAAAAATGAAAATTGCCCCATTATTTACTCACCCTCTAGCCTTCCTAGGTAGCCTGACTTCGTCATACTTATATTCTAGTCAGAATGTGAGTCTGATACTGCTCCATAGGGCTTTGATTATGAGGCGTGTCTTAACCGAACCAGGAAAAAAAAAAACCTCTGCACTCAATTGGATAGACCTACAACCAATCCGAGCAACGCAGTAAGTGACGTATGTTGAGCTACGCATAGTTGTCAACAGGACTCAACTGCACTGCACGCACGCTGGAAGAAGTAGTAAAATAATGAGTGTTGCTTCTTTTACTTGGTCCTTCATGAGTGCGACCAAAGGAGAAACCACAACGACCACATCCCATCTTCTTAGCGACCATCGGAGAGGGCTGATAAATTTAACTTTTGCAAACACATCTTTCCGATCGACAAATGCCTTGATTGCAGTTCTCTGTTCGTCTTTTAAAATTAAAGGCAGGGTAGGTAAAAATCCCCAAAAATACTTTTTTCCAAATTTGTTTAAACTGTCTTTATATATCAATGCATAATTAAAATGTAAGTAATCTGGAATTTTTTTTATAAAAATCGAGTGTCTGTAGTCCTCTCAGGACTGCAATAAACACAGCTCATTATTCCATTAACTCCCACCCCCTCCCTTCTCGGCTCCTTCCAAAGCCACGCCCCCAAAACACATGAACGCGCGATCCCGATGTTGTGCCGAATTTCGACCCCCTCCAAATTATTACCCCCCTTGCATTGTTAGGTTTAGGATTAGCTGTGGGGGAGGGGGTAGGATTAGGGGCGGGGTTGGGATTAGGCAATCAGGTACTGACTTCAACGAGGGGGGTAATAATTTGGCAGGGGGTCGAAATTAGGCACAACACCGGCCGTTCGCTCAGCTGGAAGAGTCGGACGCGTTTACCAGCGCCGAGCAGAGAGGAGCGCAGTGCATGTAGTGACATCATGTCAGAATCACAAGTAATAAAATAACTAACTTTATCAGTATGAATATAAACAATTAACATGGCTGTTAGTACACACTATCAAGCTCGCATATCGATACTGGTAAAGTTTAAAATATTTTACTAGCTCGTAACCGAATCAAACTCAATATAAGGCAAAGCTATAAATAGCTTCATTGATACACGTTCGCCGTTACTATCAGTTACACTGTGATGAAGGTGAATTTGTAAGATTCATAACATATACAGGCAGTGGTGGAATGTAACGAAGTACAAATACTTTACTTTACTTTAATACGTTACTTTACTTAAGTAAATTTTTCACGTATCTGTACTTTACTTAAGTAGAATAAATAGTGCATACTTTTTACTTTTACTTCGTTACATTTCGCAGCAATTATTATACTTTCTACTCCACTACATTTCTACAAAGTTCTGTTACATTTTCGTTAAATTTTCTGATCAGTTTTTCCCCTGCCAAAACGTAATCCTGACCGTCCGTTCATTGCACGTTTCTGTCTCACCAGTGAAGTTTGGTTGCCATAGATATATCAACCCAGTCACACTAAATGCGTCTCTATAGCACGCAGTGTGTTTATCGTGCAATTTATACGCGAAAATTAGTTTTTACATGCGAAAATTAGTTTTTACATGCATAGGAAACGCATTGGTAGGTTTAGTAGTGATGTGGGGTGCGTGTGTATTATACGTTTGGTTAGGATTAGTATGGCAAGCCAAGAGGTTCAGAATTACGCCATAAATGAATCGCGTTTACAGCAAACGCCGTCATATACGGCGTTTTAACATAATATGTGTTTATATACTGTATATATATATATATATATACCGTATATAGTAAGGGTATATAGTAAGCTTGATGTGTAGGCTATATTGCCTAATTGCAAGCTTGTTCAGAAATGGTGACAAAAGTATTAGGTTGAATGAGTTAGAATTAACTTTTATTAATCATTAGAATATAGACATTAAGAGAATAAATTGTTATGCAAGTACTTTTACTTTTAATACTTAAAGTACATTTAAAATCAGGTACTTTTTACTTAAGTAGGGTTGTCATTTTGGTACTTCTACTTTTACTAAAGTAAAAATGTCTCTGGTTATTTGTACTTTTACTTAAGTACTGAGATTCAGTACTTCCTATACAGGTGTTTTGCATGTAAGAGCTTCCACGATGAAAGCACTGTTGGCTCTGATGTATTGTTTACAGATAAACTGAGTAACATATACTCAAACACCTTCTCACAACTGCATTGCAGACACCAAATAATATAACACACACACAACATATATTGTATAACACATACAGATACAACATAAAGACATAGGTAAACATATGTAGAGCATATAACAACAAACCAAACGTGAAAAAACGGAGCAGGTAGAGTTCACGGTGAACATAGGAACAAAGTTTTGGCAGAGGGTAAAGCTAGGTATAAAAATAGATCCCCTAAACTTTTTAACCTAGTTAGATTTGGCGAAATTAAACAAAACAGCTTTCAACTGCAGATAGGCCTATTGATCATTTACCGTCTCAACCCTGGCTCACTAACAGTAACGTTAAAACAGTCGACACCAAAGTTACACTGTCATAGCTAAGCCAGTGTAACGTTAGTTATGCTACGTAACGTTAGGTAGCTATATTAGGTAGCTACGTGTGCTAGTGATACATGCTTCATGAAAAAATAAATGCCATCAAAATGAAAACAGCGAGATTACCTGTCCAGCAGAAATAATGCCATCATGGAGTCACTTTTCAGCCCCTTGAGATCCCTCAGTTGTCGCCACCGCTGGAAAGCCACGCCGATATTGACTCTCGTATGATTTCTTGATTTATCCAAAGACTTTTTGTTCATAGCCTTTTCAAATACTGTCTTCCTTTTTTTAACTTGTTTGACTTCGCTGCCTGTATATGCAGGTACTGAGAATTTTGACTGTTCTTTCTCTGCCATAATTGTTATTAGCTTCCGTGCCTCTTCAAACGGGTCCGCGCATTTGGGCTGCTCCTGTATCAGCAGAGGTGGTATCCATGGTAGCGAGGGAGAGTGACAGTCACCCCAGCCAATATTTTCTTTCACCCCGAATGGAATAATGAGCTGTGTTTATTGCAGTCCTGAGAGGACTACAGACACTCGATTTTTATAATTTCTTTTCCAGATTACTTACATTTTAATTATGCATTGATATATAAAGACAGTTTAAACAAATTTGGAAAAAAGTATTTTTGGGGATTTTTACCTACCCTGCCTTTAATGCGCTGTCGATTTCTTTTACAACAGACGCGATAGCGGAATCTATACATCTCAATTCTCCAGCTGCAGTCATCTTTGAGGGAAACCAGTTCAACCCAAGCGCTCTTTGATAACGTGATGATTACGTAACTGCAGATCATCTGTCCATCATCGTATAAAGCCCGCCCTGGCAATTTGATTGGCCCGACGATTTCCGAACCGATTATAATTACTCCTCAATGGATCGAGTCCAGACCGAACTTCCTGACCAAAAAATGTTGTGGGCGGGGTTCGGGCTGGCATCCAGGCTACTTCCTAGGTGTATATGACTTTCTTCTTTCAGACGAATACAATCAGAGTTATATTAAAAAATTGTCCTGGCTCTTCCAAGCTTTTTAATGCCAGTGAATGGAGGATGATTTTTTTAAAGTAAAAAAAAAGTGCATCCATCCATGATAAAAGTAATCCATTCAGGTCCATGGGGTTAATAAAGGCCTTCTGAAGCGAAGCGATGCGTTTGTGTATGAAAAATATCCATTTTTATAACTTTATCAACTAAAATAACTAGCTTCCGGCAAACGGCCTATGCAAGTCGACTTATGCCAAAAGAGTAATAGCTGACGCGATGTATGACATAAGGTCAAGGGAAGGGTTACTCTTTCGCCATAAATCGATGCGTATGGCCGTCTGTCGGAAGCTAGTTATTTTAGTTGATAAAGTTTTAAATTATATTATAATTTTAATATAATATTAAAATTATAATTAGATATTTTGTGAGATATTTTTCTAACAAAAACACATCGTATTACTTCAAAAGGACTTTATTAACCCCCTGGAGCCGTGTGAAGTACTTTTATGGAGGATGGGTGCACTTTTTTGGCCAAAATAATATCCTCCACTCACTGCCATTATAAAGCTTGGAAGAGCCAGGACATGTTTTAATTAAACTTCTATTCGTCTGAAAGAAGAAAGTCATATACACCTAGGATGGCTTGAGGGTGAGTAAATCATGGGGTAATTTTCATTTTTGGGTTAACTATCCCTTTACTTTTCTGCATTTGCTCTCATAGGTGCTGCTTTAGTACTGATTTTGTAATCTGTTTGCTTTCAGTGCAGTTCATGTACCTCGATTTGGCCTCTTTGACATCTGTGCGGCAGTTTGTCCAGAGATATAAAGCCACAGGTTTGCCACTACACGTCCTTGTCAATAATGGTATGTAAATTCCTTAATTCCTCTAGCATTAGGCAATTTTTTCCCCTTAAAATTGCTGTATTATTTGTTGTTATTGTCATATTTGCAGTGTCTTTATATTTCATATTTCGTATTTTCATATTTATTTATTTAATGATTTAAAGAATTCTTATTAACAATAAACAATTTTACAGCATTTATTACATTAGATTAATATTAATTTTTATATTGTATAGATAGATTTCACCTTGCATGTATTAAAATTAATGTATAATGAACAAACATGAAATTGCAATACAAGTTCCAAAATTGCTGTTCATTGTTAGTTCATGATACCTAATGCATTAACTTGTAAAGTCTTAACTGTAAAGTGTTACCTATTTATCATTTATAGGTTGTCTCCTATAAACGGTCTTAAAATGTCTTGCGTCCTCCTAAGCTCGCTCTGTTGGACATGTCTGGTCTGTGTCCTGAGGGCCTTAGGGGTTGTTTGTTTTAACTGAATGACTTTTATTTAGAAGTCTGCCCGAGGGAATGTCTCAAAATGACAGGAACAGTCACACACTGTCCTCTCCCTAACAGAGAGAACTAATAATTCACGCTCCCCTTTTCCTGTTTGTTCTCTATGGCGTACACCCCTCCCATCTGATGCCAGCTGATGGGTCAACATATTTGTGCCACCCCGTTGAGGGTCTAATGATGCCGAAAGGTCAACACTTGACCCCTCTAGTGCTCTGGCTGGACAGGACACTGCATGTGTCTGAGGAAGAGTCGAGGGACATTGATTCTCTCTTTAGAGAACATGGATCGATAAAATCAGGATTCGTTAGGTTCAACTTTCCAGTGTGAGTGTAATTAAAAAACGTACTGTTTAATGTTCATTTAATATGCTGAGGACATTTTTATAATCCTGATTATTGTTTTCTCCTGCGAACTGAGCTGTAATTCTGTTAAGAGCAAAATAATGATGAAACATGTTTTCAAGAGCAGAGGCTTATTTCCACATGAATGCTGGTGCTCAGTCTCGGCCAGGGTTTTAAACCAGATTACATCCATTTAATATTGGGATTCACCAACTTTAATTATCTTGTGGTCGCTCTTTATAAAGACATAGAAGTGCATTTTTGTAGAAGGCTATGTTTATGTGTGAATGTGACGCATGATGATCTTCACATCTTTTCATTTTCTTCTCAGCGAGAACATGAATTAAGCAGAAAAATCACATTAAGAACTTTAATGGAGGAAATGGTTATTCGCTTGTTCAGTTTCATATGAAGACATCTCTGATATCATTCTCTCTGTGTGTTAAAAGCCATTCAAAAAGATGTGAATCAATAAACGAGCAATACTTAATTCACGGTATTCAGAGAGCTGCATGCAGTACAATGTTCTCTGAGCGTATTTTCATTGCTTTTCAAAACAGTGACTCAGAAATTACTCATGAGTCATTTTTAAGGTGTGAATACTTGATCAAGCATAGTAGGATTCTTCCTGGTGTCCTGCATATTCTGTTTGTTCATAATATATCAGCAATGATGTTCCTTTATGTATGCAGCTGGTGTTATGCTTGTCCCGGAGAGGAGAACAGAGGATGGATTTGAGCTACACTTTGGGCTAAACTACCTGGGCCATTTCCTGTTGGCCAACCTGTTGCTAGATGTCCTGAGGAAGTCAGGCAAACCTGGGAAATGTTCCCGAATAGTTATTATGTCTTCAGCTACCCATTATGGAGGAAGATTAACTCTGGATGACTTGCAGGGAAGGTTAGAGGTTTACTGTATTACACTTGAGAGTCTTTTCTTACCTCAAGCCTTTTTGTGAATGGAAGGGATGAATTGATGCAATTGATGAATTCAAAAGTGTGAAAAATCTAATTTTATTCCGTATTGTTCGGCACCACTGCTGAATCTAGTTCTACATGCAAAAGTCATCCAATTTTATGTTCTGTTTTTGAATTTTTGAATTTAGTCTGAATTGTCTACTCTGACTGCACACACAAACAAAAACATACAACACAGTCATTGTAGTCATATTTAAAAACAGTATGTTCTTTTTCAAACAATACACTCACTGAATCCACCGGTTACTGAATTAAGAGCTCACTTTTCATAACTCATTCCCAACTGAGAACCGTTACCATGTTGTTTGTGCTGTGGACTATATTATGAAATGTGGTTTGTGAGACTTAATTAGCATAATCACCTACTTGTTAAATAATAATAATTTAAAAAAAAACTTGACACAAGTTTTGAGGGGGTGAATAATTGATTTTTTTTGTCTATTTAGCTTATTTTAATGCTTGTTTCGTCTTGTTTTAATTCATTTTAAGTTATCATGAGGCACACTAGTGGGCCCCAGCCCCCTGGTTGAGAACCTCTGCCATAAACAGAGTTGTGTAAAAATGAATATATTAGTTATATTAGGTATATTGCATGATATATCAGTCAAATCGTAGGTGGAGTTTCATTTTGTGCATGGAGGGGTAAAAAAAGAAGCCTAAAGGCTTATTGTGTGCAAATATGAAGACAATAGGCTATAAAAATTATTTAGAGACAAACACCTTATTTTCCACTATATAGTATCTATACGATTATACAACACTTTTACCCAAAGGATAAAAAATAAAAGCTTACCTGATGCAGAAGTAGCTGTTTTCTCCCCCAACTTGCTTAGATTTCAACTATCTGATAGTTTTGCAATCAAACATTCATATTGTACAGTTGGCCTACAATTTAGCTTGACTGCTTGCAAAGGGGGAACAAAAAAGAAGAAGTGTAAAGTGCCACAAACTGCAACACTTTTAAACTCTGGAAAAGAATGCATGCGAAAATTGAAAAATATATGACCATTTTAGTTTTCAATATGTAAAATAATTTAGCCATAATTTCATAATTCTGCACATTAATAAGATTAGATAAAAGTCTTTTTTTTTTTTTCACCACCTAGACTAATGCTGCATTCAAACCATGTTGTAATTACCGTAGTTTCAAGATGACAACACATGACATTCTACTTGGAGCTGGAATTATGCGTTTCTGTGGCAACACTATCAACGCCTAAATTAATCTACAAGCTCTATAAGGATGTGAACGCTTTTTACAAGTTGAAATCTCGTAATTACTTGAACGGACCTTAAACAATTATCCACCACAAAACTCCACCTTATAGCCATAATGGTTATTGCAGTTTTTTTTTTTTTTTTTTCAATAAATATTGGCTATTAAATGCTCATTTACATTTAAATTATATTTGCCATCACCACTCTGTCACGATGGTTGGCTGAAATGAAGGCGCACGACGATGTAAACAAAACAAAATAGTATTTTAATTGTAAATTTAACAAGGAAACACACAGGAGATAAACTTGTAGATACGGAATAGAACAACCACTTCAACATAGACGTAAAACAATCCAGGACAAAGAACTGACAGAAACTGAGGGCAGAAATTTAAGTACAGAGGGCAAACAAAGGAGCTAATGAGTTCATTATAGGGGTCATATAATGCCATTTTTGTACAAGCTAATATGATTATTTAGGGTCTAAATTAAAAGTTTGTAATATACTTTAATTAAAAATTCTCATTAGTATTGTAAGAAAACATTTTAAATTTTATCTGGTCAAAAACAGCTCTGTTTTCAGCACGCCGTTTCAGTGCATATGCCTTTAAATGATCATGAGCTTTGCTCACCCCGCCTCTCTGTTCTGTGCGTACACGTTTGTAACACAATAACCATAACGCATTGTTCATTATAAACGTGGGATTATGAATGATATGGAGAACGTCGTACATAGAAAACATGCAGTAATGTACCCTGAGTGTAAACCTTAGACTCATTCATCGTGAAGCGATTTGCAAAGATATAAATATTAATATAAAGTTTAATAAAACTCTACACTCACTTCAGTTGTTCTAGAGGTTCAGCAGGAACACGAATATCTGGTACCGATCCTTTATTCAGAAGCAGCTGCTTAGCAAAACCAGCTTTATACTGACCCTCGTTTATAAAGCAGTCTGCTGAGAAATGATTCGCGCAAACATGAGAGCATTGACGTTGCTCGTGGGGAATATTCCCTTCGAAAACAAACTCAGCCACTGCGTCTTCAGCGGTTCGGATTTAGGAACATTAAAATGACTGCTGTGTTCGTTATTACACCCAAGAACAGAACACCACAATCGCTTAGAGCCATTCTGCTCATAGACAGTGCTCCAGCATATCAACAATGACCGCGCCGGTCTGCGCAGACTATGATTGACAGCTCTCACGAGCGAGGGCGGGTCTGTGTTGAAACGCGCCTGTCAATCAACAATCGCGGGAGGGGCGTCCGACCGTGTGACGTCACACGGTCGAACGGCTTGATTTGAGGCAGGGGAAAACATATAAGGAGATTAAAACAAAAACACTGGATGGATTTTTATCATTATATGATGGTTGTGTGCAGGCACTGCCAACACACATTTCAGTACAATCAACTTGAAAAAGTGCATGTACCATTATACGACCCCTTTAACAAGGGACAGGTGATTGAAATGAATCAATGAAACTTGGAAAATGTCTCGGTTACTAATGTAACCCTGAAGGAGGGAACGGGAGAGGTAACGTCAACATGAAAACGTAATTGGGATCACTTCAGGGAAGCCCTATCATCTTCAAGTATCTACAGTTGGTGTGCGTGAATCGCGTCACGTGCCCCACCCTGCAGCGCGGGTATAAACAGGTAGCGGGCGCACGCACACATTGTTTTTCGCTGAGGAGCCGAGATCGTGACAACCGTACAGCGATGGTCAGCAATGGTGGCGACGGGACGTTACGTCTCCCGTTCCCTCCTTCAGGGAACGAGGTTTACCTTACTAACCGAGACATTCCCTATTAGTCGCTCACGTTCGGCGTAACGTCGGCGTGACAACGTAATTGGGATCCCTATGGAAAACCCCACGGTTGCTGCCACATCCAGCGCCCTACGCAAGACTCTCAGGGCCAGATGTACTAATGCTTTTGCGCCGACTTCAGGCGTATTTGTTTCGCAAAGTGCGCATAAAACCATGGCGAGGTATGTACGAACGGGACGCACCGAGATGAAAGCGCAGACTGCCTGTCGCGGGAACTGAAAATGGCAAAATACGCTTTTCGTGTCATGCATATGCATTCATGGGATGGTCAAGGGGAAAGTGGGAGTGTCACATAAAGAGATGGGAGGGGAAGCGTAAACTGCGCCTAATTATGTATTCCGCGTTATGTACAGAAAAAGCCGGTGAAAGCGCGCCTCTATTTTGTGCTGAAAATTCTCTGCCTCTTAAAAGCAGGTGTAACTTAGTAAGAGGGTTTCCTGGCATATGCCTCCTGGTGAAATGGCAGCAGTAATCCGAGCAAGACGAAGACATAGGCTAAGGAGAATATTTTTGCCAAAAGAATCACACTTTTTCAGTTGAGTGAAAAATAAATCATTAAGCGTTACAGATTAAGCAGCTACGCAATACTACAGTTACTGGAAGAAATCAAAGATGACATAGAATCTCCGACTCATCGTTCACATTCCATTCCAGCAGTTGTTAAACTCCTCGCTACATTACAGTTATTGGCATCAGGATCATTTCAAACAGTCATAGCATCAGCAGTGAGAGGAGGAGGCCCATTCAATTGCGCGTTTAAATACGCGCAATTTACGGTATAGTGAGTGGGGACAGGCGCTGATTACCTGATGAACTGCAGGTTTGGTACATAACACGCACACTGCGGTTTCACATCAAGCGCTTTCTGCGTCTTGGCAATGGTGCTATTAACGCTGCGTTCGCAAATGTACGTACATCTGGCCCTCAGACCCCCAACTGGCTGGGGCGGAAGGCCTGCGTAGAGGGAGTTCAAACTGCTGTTATACACCACACAGTGGGACTCTTTGGATAACACTGGGAAAGTGTGCCTTTCCAGGGGAGAGGGACGCTGTGGAAGCCACATCCTGCCTGAAGGGTGGTACCATGTGGAGAATACACATATGGACTGGCCGGTTAGAGGCAGTGCAACATAATATGGAATGTCACTGGGGTGGCTCCAGCCTGAGAAGGGGGAGGCTACACCGGACAGTGACGGCAGAGCGGACTCTGCCAAGGGAGAGACACGGGCTCGCCGCAGGGAGCTGGTCATGTAAGAATATGCATATGGGATCGCTGCAGGGATCAGCATATATGGAACCCAGCCTAGCACAAGTTACACAAGCATACTAGCACTAGGCCTCCGCAAAGTCTGACTGCCAAAGGGGTGCGGAGGTAATCAACAGGGTTCGCCTAAGTGGGGAACCCGACTAGAGCAGAAAACCGCACGTATCCGCTCCATGTGGAGGGGAGTGGCGCAGCAAGCCGACACTAGAGCGGGAACTTCTGTGTTACCGGGTGGTTGAAGCGAGCACACAGGAAGAAACCAGCTCAACACGTAGGCTATAAAACCTAGCGAACATGTTAGGTGTCGCCCAGCCCGCAGCTCAACAGATGTCTGTCAGCGACGCGCCGTGTGCCAGCGCCCAAGAAAAAGCGACACTCCTAGTGGAGGGGGCTCTCAACCCGGGCGGGCAGGGCACGCCTTGGGCTTCGTAAGCCAAGGCAATGGCATCCACTATCCAGTGGGTCATCCTCTGCTTGGAGACAGCCTTTCCCTCTGACAGCCTCCCTAACAGACAAAGAGCTGATCTGAGGTCCTGAGGCTTTGCGTTCTGTCCAAGTATAGGCGCAGAGCGCAAACTGGACAGAGAAAAGCAAGGGCTGGGTCTGCGTC